CCTGGAGCTGGCGGGCAACGCGGCCCGCGACAACAAGAAGACGCGCATCATCCCCCGCCACCTGCAGCTCGCCATCCGCAACGACGAGGAGCTCAACAAGCTGCTGGGCAAGGTGACGATCGCGCAGGGCGGCGTGCTGCCCAACATCCAGGCCGTGCTGCTGCCCAAGAAGACCGACAGTCACAAGGCTAAAGCCAAGTAAATGTTTGTCAAGGCTTATCAAAAAAAACCCAAAGGCTCTTTTCAGAGCCACCCACTTTTGTCAGTAAAGGCTGAGTCACTGTAGTTTTGCTTTTGTGAACAGAGGCAGAAACACATACGCTGCCTTTTTTTCTAGGCTTTGGCTTAATGATAGTCTGTTTTCATCTGCCTGTGGTTTAGTGGAAGGTTTCTTCAGCAGATGGTAATATGTCTAAAGAACTTGTACTTTCTACTAAGATTCATTTTGCTTTTTGTTGTTATAGAATTTTCTAGTTATTAAGTTTCCCCTTTTCAAAGGTGATGTTTTCAATCCATTAATAGTAGCGATTATGGTTTTTGTAATACTGTCAAACATGACATCTAGCCAATAAACTCGATACTTCCTCTAAGTGCTCTGTGCTGTACTTACTAGAGGGTAACATTAACTGAAGTCAATAGTAGTTTATATTTATGTTCAAATGAACTAAACAGTAGCTGATTGCTGTTGTGCTACCAGGATTTAAACAGAGAAAAGGGAATGGGGGGGAAGTAAAGCTTGTACACGAAAAATTAGGCCCCGAAAAAAACCCTGAAATCTTGGCAGCGACCCTGAACCAATTGTTTCGCAACAGGAGGGGTGTTCCCAGCCTCGTGCCTCTGACTTATTTCCGTTTCTACTGCCTTTTAACACTCGTGTATGCCAGAATCTCCCTGGCTTACCTTGGCAGAATTAATTGTAAACTGGGTAAAGTTTTCAAGCAGGAAAGAATCGCCAGTGTTCTCATCTGATATGATGTACCACTAAGGTGACGGTTGCTGCATTCATCTGCAAAGAACACTATCACTTAATTTTTCTGGCACTACTCACTGGATCCATGTGGTATGGGGAGTTTAAAGTTTACACTTTGTTTTGGGAAAAAAAGTGAGTCGTTCTTAGAAAAACTGCTGCCATTATAGCAGGGCACAGTGTGGTTAAAAGTTTGATTCTCTGCTTTAGTGCTGCCCTGTTTGCTTTCAATTTGCTTCTGGTTTTAGCATGGCTTTTCCTATGGTCTTGTGCAGGCTCCTGGCCACAGAAGCCAGACAGCCTCTTGCCTTTCTGGGGCTCTCTTTTGCAGTTTGTGGCACTGGAGAAATAGCAGTTTTCAGTATGGTGTTCCCCAGCTCTGTGCTTCAGTCTAGGGAAAAAGAGAGATGTCAGTTAACACATCTGTGGACCTGATGTTTAATGAGATTAATGTTCCTAAAATTAGGTTGGTGATATATTTAACCCTCTTTAATGGAATGAAGTTTATACTCCTCCCTATGTCTGTGTGTTCTACATAATGAAACTGTCATCTGCATATCAGACTGTAGTAAACCATGGGAAAGACACCTATGAACAACCCTGGGTACGTCATCTTGTTGTGTGAGTAGATTTAAATTTTACTTTGTAGACTGCATAACCTTTCAAGAGAACAATTTTATGGGTTTATTTCCCTTAGAAATGAATGCTCTGCTAACAACCATACAATGGTAATGGTAAAGAAGATATAGTATTCATAGTTATTTTCGTAGTCATTCCCCTTTTTTCCCTGCTGAAGAATTAGTTTAGTCATTATGCAGTTCTAGTTTTGAATTATATATATGGGAAACAAAGCCCCTCCACCCAAAAAAAAAAAAAACAAACCAAAAAAAAAAAGTTACATGAGGTCCAAATTACGAAGGGTTGCAGGACCTTGAATATATCTTGTACAGACAGACACCTCTGTGAAGATGGTTTGTAGACGTGTTTTACCAAGACTGGGGTAACTGAGGAGCTTGGTTTTGAAAATATACATATTTTCTAATAGTGCTGTTGTAACACCAGCAGCCTCCTATAACCAACATAGACAGATAGCTGGGCATCTCATTGACAGTAACTTGATTTTGCATCAGCAGAATGGAAGAGGAATGTGAAAATGCCTCTGATCAGGAGGAGAAAAAGAGAAAACTGCCTCATGGGACCCATTTAGCAATTCTGATGAGACAGCTCTCTGGGCAGTGCATTCCTTGCACCGCCCTCCTGTTCCTGTTAGGAGGTCCTGCTCCCACGCAGCCCATCCACCCCCCACCCAAACCCTCCACTACTCATCCGTCATCTCCCACCAGTGCTTGACGAAAGGGGTACATGCGCAGTTTCAGATGGTGGAGTGCACAGTGGCCCTGAGATTGATGAGATAGCTGTGCATTGAAATGAATGAATCACATGTGAATTTGTATTTTGTTCATTTTTTCTTCATTGTGCATTTTGCTCCTTGAGAGAGGGAACCAGAAAAAAAGAACCAAAACATAGGCCTTTTAATATCTCTACTGAGAAGTTTGGCTTTTCTGTGTTATTTAATCACACAGGTTTCATTTGGGCATGTTAACAGAGGAGAGCTCAGCTGAAGTATAAATGCAACCAGGTGTGAATAACAGAGTGGACTGTTTCCACCAGGACCCATTGTTTCTCCAGTGATGAAACTTTTCAGATTTGTCAGTCTGGTCATGACAAGCATTGTGGTTTCCTGCTCCCTGCACCAGTGCCAAAGATAGGGATTTAAGGACTAATCTGCCTCTGGGAGGAGGGAGACAAGGCCCATTACAGAAGAGTTGAAGGAGGGAGAGGAGGGTAACATGGGACAGCTTGAAGAAAAACATGGAGGGGTGTTGGCCTCGGCAGAAAAAGACTTGCAGGGGGAATGGGGGCATTGTAAGGGTTGGGAACTGAGAGCTATGCTGCTCTGCAGCCTCCTACAACCCCCTGCACTGCAAGAGTCCTCTGGGAACAGCAGAAAGAAGGCAAAGAAAAGGGTTGGACATCTCCTGGAAGGGTAGAGCAGGGTACTAAATTTTTAAATCCAGAAGCAAGCTATTTCTTCCTCACTTTTCCCTACACACACACACACCCCAATTAAAGTATTTTTAACTCTTTCAGTGTTAATAAACAAGCCTGTAGGTAAAGTGGAAGAGTACACATTATTCAGTTTAGATAAATGTTGTAAATAAACTGCATCTCTTCTGCAGTTTCTTGATGTCTTCACCTGTTGCTCATCTGAAGTCCTCCCCCTGTGCCATTTCCTGCTGAGAAATATGATCTTCCATGCAAATGTTCTCAGGTGGAAAATACTGTAAAAATGAAAACAAAAAGAGTAGATGACTTATCTGCCTTAATGCTGTTAGGAGAAGGGTTAATCACCCTGACTGCCTTTATCAACATTTTAGAAATCGTCATTATTTTTAACCTGTCAATAAATGCTCAGTTAGACGCTGCAATGATAAGTTTGAATTATGATGTGTCCCATGAGGTTTTGCCTGACATGTAAAAGTATCAGCTAAGGCTAAAACTCCAGCAGCTAAACAGGTTTTACATCCATGTGACCATTTCACTTCTCCCATAGGATTTGTACCTATGGAAGGTATTCAAAAGTCCCCATATGTAGAGAGTGGAACTGGCTCAAGTAAATTTGGCTTCCTGAGCCAGCTCAGCTGAGTCCAAGCACCTGGGTTTGCCTGTAATGCAGTCAGTCTGGTCTGCTGGCGCTTGGAGCGCAGGTGGAGTCAGCTCTGTTTAAAGACCTGTTTCTATGTGTAGAAAGACTGGAGCTTTGTAATTCCTATGGTAATTCTTGTCCTTTTTTCTTGGCAGGGTGATTAAAGACACTAACCTTGCTCTGTCCCAAGTGCATAAGGCAAAAAAATAAAAACTTGATCATGTCAAGAGTTAAGATTGTTAACGCTGCAGTGGCTGCTACTTACTACAAAAAGAAAAGAGGCTTACAGGAGGTGTGAGATCTGCTGTTGCATAGAGGTAGATCAATATCCTTTCCTCTGTCTGAAGTCCAGGTTTCAGATGTAACTCTCCATGTGTGCTCTCATTTCAGGAATTGTTTCTCCCACTTTCTTGTAACCTTTGCAAGTAAAACATTTACATGAAACACAAGTAGAGCTACAAATACAAAAAGTTGTGTATTTTATTAGTGATTAAAATTCCAAGACATTCTGTTATTCCTTTCACAAACAAGCAACTTATTTTCTAGCTTTGAAATGCAAGTACATCCAGAATTGCTTCCTGAGTTTTTCAGTGTTAAAAATGAAAGGATGAAACTTTGTGATTAATATGTATTATCATTTTTGACAAGGAATGCTTTTAGAACAACTACTCCACCAGGGCTGCTGTCAAATAATTTAGTTCTTTGTAGCCCTTAAAGAAACCTAACTCAAAGCCTAAAATGCCTTTCTATCTACATAAGCCCCTGATTCTGTGACCCCAGTCTTTGAGGAAAGAGATGTTCCTGCTCATTGTAATGTTTCTTCCTTTCTTGTAAGTGTATGAGATGGGAAGGGAGTTCTCAGCTGTGTTCCCCTCTACTTTCAGTCCTCTTCTCCAAGTGAGATTTGTGTCCTGTCTCAAGCTGTGCTGAGCTCTGAACGAGTCAAACCTGACACCAGGTTTTTGAACACAAAGTCCCAATTTTTTTCATTCACAATTTGGACTGGGCACATTTTCATTGCTGGTCAAAAACCTTATATATGGGTGTGTATGTGGCCAAATATTTTTCTCAAGCTGCAGTCAATACATTCTCCTATAATGCCAATTATTTTGAAACATATTCTTTTCTATTAAAACTGGAAAAGAAAGTCTCTGTGACAATAATATTGCAATAATTTGCCCTGTGTGTTGAGTAATTATCATCTGTGGCCATAAGGAAAAAGAATTTGATTTCATAAGCAGGTGAGCAGATTTACTCCATTATTAAAAACAAAAGAAAGAACAACAAAAAAACCTCAACTAACCACAATCAAAACTGCAAAGTAGTGAAAAAGTGCTAGCATGTGTGTGATTTGATCAGGTTTTGGATCAAGTGAATAACATCTATTTCTCATTTCTGATTCACTATTCAGTCAGTTACCTAGAGAATAAAGGTGGTGGGTTTTTTTAAATTTTATATATTTTTAACATTTTATATTTGAAATTTGATGTATTTCACTTTTGTAGAAATAAAAGCAGAGGGTGTTGGTTTTTTTTTTAAAGATGAAAATGAATAAAAATAAATTTTACTGTAGGTATGGTGATCTAGAGATGGTATATATTTTTCCAAGAATGCTACTAATTTTATTATTCTAATACAAATAAGACATGGGAAATTTTGTACTCGTTATATTTTTCTGGTTATTCACTACAGTATTAAACTGTAATGTAAGTCTGGTAATTTAAGATACAAAAATGTGATGAGATGGAAAAATGTATTTTGACAAAAGTGTTTGCATATGCAAATGTAAATATACCCATATTTCAGTTAATGTGAATCAAGCGGTATTCTGAAGGCAGATATGGAGGGTAGATAAAAATACAACATGAAGGGCCTGTTTAAAGATTATGCATTCTAGCACATCCCAGTGTTGAGAACAGTTAGGACTAATAGCCTTGCTTAGCACTGGATTCTCAACAAGTTGAAGCCTTAGGGCACAAGAGCTAATAAGAGCCTAAACTTTTTGATAAAATAATGCCACAAACATAGAACAAGTTAAAATTGGCAAGATTGAAGCAGAATGAAGAAAAACCACAGAAATAACATGAGAATGAAATAACTTCAGAAGATGGCTAGCCCAGTGACCAAGAAAATCAGTAAGAAATCAAGGGAACACCAAGAAGAACTAAATTATTGTATTTGGGAACTGGGTTGATGAGCGGTACAGGTATAATTTGGGTTGCAATCTCGTGCAGAGGTTTCCTCTTTGGAGACACAGCTCTAGGTGCTCTGCATGTTGGGTAAATAAACATTTACTCAGTGGATTGGGAACTCATTTTGAATTGGGAACCTAGGGCAGGAACCCTTTAGAGGTGGCATGTATATAATTCCTACATGGTCTAAGTGGAAGTAGCATAATTCCTGCTATACCAGGACAACGTATTTGAATACTGTCCTCTTACTGTTGCTACTAAAACTACCAAAACTACTATTGCTTAAATCCACTCTGTAGAGTGGATTTAAGAATATAAACAGCACTGTTTTGAACTAAATAGGAAAGAACAACAAAGAACACGAATGATGGAAGAATAAGCTGCCATGTGACTTCATATTCACACTCTATATATGTGTGAATATATGTATATTCACTCTTTTTGCATTATTTGGTTTGAATGTTTTGAATGTTTGAAAGTTCATGTCCTCCTGTGGCATGAAATCAAATTGGTTATTTTTACTGAGCTTACTTTTACCTCTGGTGAAAAGAACAAGCACAACAAAATTTCCATGGTAGTTGCTTTTTTGTTAGTTCAGAGACTTTTTTTCTCAGCACTGTTAGAAAAATAAGGGTTGCGTTACCATCAGATCTGATGTCAAATGCTATGTTGATATTATAGTCCCCTAATATTGCCTTACCGTTCATACTGAAATTGGAGGGACCAACAAGAGCAGCCTTTTATTTTCTTGAGTAAAGAGTTTCATGGCCTAGAAACAGTTTCCCATACTGAAGCAATCTATTAAAAAAAATCCCTAAAATTTCTATGGCAGCTGTGTTAATGAAGTGTGCAATCTGGAATATATAAAGACAGGAAAGGCAGAATGAATGCTTATGAGGTGAGTGTCCAAAAGGCACTACCAAGCTCCTATTTTAACTTAGGCAACAGGGCTGCCCTGTGATAGCTGTATTTTGAACAGGGGTGTTTTTACTGATGACTGATTATAGAGAATAATAGCCACTGTAAAATTCTTCTGGTTATTATCATGTTAAATATGAACACATTTATGTGCTCATATGATGTGATCCTTCTCTAGAGTCCTTTTCTAGTGAGCCAGGTACCCTTATAAAAGAGGTATAAGGGTGTATATATATATATATATATATATATATATATATATATATATATATAACTAGACACTGTAATATACCATGTTTTAATAATCTTTTCAGGCATTGGACATACACAGAGGCCCAGAATATGCAACCTGTGTTCCAGAGTTTGCAGTAAAGCACTTGGTGATTGGATGCCTAAATGCCATTTCGAGCTGCTGAAGAAGGGTATGGAGTATAGAGGATGCCAATTCCCACTGGATATCTGAAATCCAATCTGAGACATCCCCATAAACCTTCTACCTGAAATTAACTTTGATTTACATAACAGGTATCAGATTTGAGAGACCTGGTGTCTGTCTCGTTACCTGTACTACCAAACAATATGCAGTCAGTACTAGAGAGGTGGACTATTGTGATT